CAACAAAACTCCGCCGACGAGTTGCTTGTGCGCAGCCTCTGCGTCTGATGCGGCCGCAAGCCTGGCAGGAAGCATCTTGCATCTCATCAAACATGGCAAATGGTTTCAATATGAACAATGCTACACCTACCGCGAACTCATCGCGCAGCCTGGGCGGCTCTTGCTCTGGCTGCCTAGGAGCGGCCAATTGCAGTACAGCGGTGCTCAGCAGTGCAACATGTTGGGTTGCCGGAAGGGTCGCTCTTGGACGTGGGTTGGGAATTGTGCAAATCCTATGCGAATAGCAGTGAATCGTGGCTTCGGTGAGGTCAGAGGATCTCAGATTCGAATACGCGGTGCTGGCAGGCGCAGCATTCTCATTCGCTCGCAGGAGGCTCCAGGACTGTGGCTTGGCTCTCTTAGAGAGACCTGCAGAATGCCACCAGCACTTTCATGCAGCTTGTCCAGGCCGGGCTGCCTTGTATATGCGAAGCAGACAAGTCATGAGGTGCGCTGATAGCTTGCTGGCAGAACTTCCGTTCCTGCTCGGCACTGAGAGCGCAGCGGAGACAAAGACAAGTAGCTCCTTCAAACGCAAGAAGACCCCAAGCCTTAGACACCAGGTGTCTAAAACCACCTGCGGCAAAGTGGCAGCGTGTCAGATAAGCAAATGGGACTGCGCAGTCGCGTACAGCGACCAAATAGCGGAGAACTTACATGGCGCGTGGGGCTGGGGGTTCGGGATCGACTCATTTGAAACATAGGTTGGCCTCGACATGCTGGAAACATGGACCCGTGTTCTTTCCATCCCCCCCCCCGCCCGTTCCCCCCCCCTTTACAGCCGCGAACACGCTGAGGAATGAATCCCCGGGCAACCCCCCCCCCCCTCGTCAACCCAACATGTTGGTGTGGGAGGCTGAACCTTGTTATCCTCGCTAGTGCAACCCAATCAAGAGCCCTAATATGCCGTAATCACATGATGTGCGACACGTGTCGAGATCGGTGTCGCATCACTCAAACGACAGTCGTGCAAACCAGCTACTTGCACTCTATATGATGCACCACCAATCGGGCGACTCATGAAACCATGATCAAAGCCAGGTTCACGTAAATTCAAAGGGAAAAGACTAGGACTCAAGGATGCTGCGGGATAGGAAAGGACAGGATTCTGAGGATGCGACTTGGACACAGCGCCATGTGTAGAAGCAGTGCCCTGCGTCTCTGGCCTGTGCAAATCACGCATTGGAAATCAAAGCTTAGCGCAAGTGTCACTTTTCTCAAGCTCATATTGAACCGGCAAGCACGAACGCATATACCCTCATGTCACCCAAATCTTCCCCGCGCAGGGCGTATCTTATCCAAGCTGCTCCAGTTGCGTCTCCGGCACTTCATCGCCAGAATCGTCGCCAAAGATCAGCCTGCAAGCTGCGGGAAGCTGCGTAATTCATTCCATGTCATAATAAGCAGTGCCGAACCCTCTGGTGTAAAAAGCGGCAGGGCGCTTTTGCGTATGCTTTGCCGACCACATGTTTTTCTTCCGCGGGCGCGGGCTTCGTCTCCTGTAATACTGCTTTCACAGCGGACTGTGCGAAACACACCCTTCAAAATGTAGGGGGCACCCCCCCTTTACTACTTTGAGCTACCAGGGTTTACGAACAACATAAGCTATACGCTGACAACTTGCCTTGGTTGATACTGACATTGTATACGTTCTATTGCAGGCGAGCGCTAATCACTACAATGTCACTTAGAGGTTTCGATGTTGAACTGATAGATACCACCAAATGCCCGGCATTTTAGTTCATACTTGATGGTGAGGTGCTGATATTCAGGGCTGCAGTGGGCCTGATCTGACGCGATGCTTAATGCTGTGAAAGCTGTGTCTGTGACAGCTCAGTCAACCCAACTCACTCGCAGCATCAACGAAAACAACTCTGACAATTCGAAACCAGAAGCCCGGCCTTCGTTTCGGCGTGGGTGGTCTGGGCTTCCTTGAAACTGCGCAAGCCCACGTCTTCGCTCTCACCAAAACAGACGCGAGCTTCACGGAAACGGGTAGCGAGGCACCGACTCGTCAACAAAACTTCGCCGACGAGTTGCTTGTGCACACCCTCTGCGTCTGATGTGACCGCAAGCCTGGCAGGAAGCATCTTGCATCTCATCAAACATGGCAAATGTGTGCAATATGAACAATACTATACCTACCGCGAACTCATGGCACAGCCTGGGCGGCTCTTGCTCTGGCTGCCTAGGAGCGGCCAATTGCGGTACAGCGGTGCGCAGCAGTGCACAATGTTGCTGCGGCAGGCTGAACCCTGTTTTTCTAGCTAGCGCAAGCCTAATCATTAGCCCTAACATGCCCGAATCACATGATGCGCGACACGTGTCGAGATCAGATCGGTGTCACATCACTCGAACGACAGTCGTGCAAACCAGTTACTTGCACTCAACATGACGCCCTAAGACCTTTCTTTTTTCTGTGCTGTTTGCACCACCTATCGGGCGACTCATGAAACTATGATCAAAGCCAGGTTCACGTAAACTCAAAAGGGAGAAGACTAGGACTCAAGGATGCTGCAGGTTACGAAGGGTCAGGAATTCTGAGGATGCGACTTGGACACAGCGCAATGTGTAGAAGCAGTGCCCTGTGTGTCTGGCCTGTGCAAATCACACATTGGAAACCAAAGCCATCTAGCGCAAGTGTCACTTTTCTCAAGCTCATATTGAACCAGCACGCACGAACGCATATTCCCTCATGTCACCCAAATCTTCCATGCGCAGGGCGTATCTTTTCCAAGCTGCTCCAGTTGCGTCTCCGGCACTTCATCGCCAGAATCGTCGCCAAAGATCAGCCTGCAAGCTGCGGGAAGCTGCGTAATTCATTCCATGTCATAATAAGCAGTGCCGAACCCTCTGGTGTAAAAAGCGGGGCCATGAGCTTGCGATCCCGACCACATGTTTTTCTTCCGTGGGCTTCGTCTTCCTTAGATTTGCTTTCATGACGGACTGTGCAAAACACAACCTTCAAAATGCAGGGGGCACCCCCCCTTTAGTACTTTGAACTACCAGGGTTTACGGACAACATAGGCTATGGGCTGACAACTTGCCATATAGTTGATATTGACATTGTATACGTTCTTTTGCAGGTTCAACTGCACAATGCGAGCGCTAATCACTACAATGTCACTTAGAGGTTTCGATGTTGAACTGACACATGCCACCGAATGCCCGGCATTTTAGTTCACACTAGATGGTGAGGTGGTGATATTCAGGTCTGCAGTGGGCCCTTTTGACGCGATTCCAAATGCTGTGATAAGCTCTGGCTCTGTCTGTGACAGCTCAGTCAACCCAACTCACTTGCAGCATCAACAAAAACAACCCTGACAATTCGATACCAGAAGCCCGGCCTTCGTTTCGGCGTGGGTGGTCTGGGCTTCCTTGAAACTGCGCAAGCCCATGTCTTCGCTCTCACCCAAGCACACGAGCTTCACGGAAAGGGGTGACAGCAAGGCACAGACAGGTCAACAAAAATTAGCGACGAGTTGCTTGTGCACAGCCTCTGCGTCTGATGTGGCCGCAAGCCTGGCAGGAAGCATCTTGCATCTCATCAAACATGGCCAATGTATGCAATACGAACATGGACAATGCTATACCTGCCGCAAACTCATGGCACAGCCTGGGCGGCTCTTGCTCAGGCTGCCTAGGAGCGGCCAATTGCGGTACAGCTTTGCGCAGCAGTGCAACATTACGTTGGTGGAGGCTGAATCCTGTTGTCCTCGCCGGTGTAACCCCAATCATTAGCCCGAATCAAATGATGCGCGACAAGTGTGTCACATCACTCGAACGACAGCCGTGCAAACCAGCGACTTGCACTTTATACGACCTTTCTGTACTGTTTGCACCACTGATCCGGTCGGGCGACTCATGCAACCATGAGCAAAGCCAGTTCACGTAAACTCAGAGGACTCAGAGATGCTACAAATATGGGTGACGCAGGGTCAGGATTCTGAGCACGCAACTCGGACACGGCGCCCGGTGTCTCTGGCCTGTGCAGGTAACGCATTGGAACCCAAAGTCATTCAATTTAGTGCAGGCGCCGATTTACCTCAAGAACATGATGAACGCATATTCCCTGATTCCACCCTCAAATTCCATGCAGGGCATATCTTATCCAAGCTGCTCCAGTTGCGTCTCCGGCAAGTCGTTGCCAGAATCGTCCCCAAAGATCAGCCTTCGAGCTGCGGAAAGCTGCGTGATCTTATTCCATGTTACATGGACCCTACTACTTCACAGCAAAGCTGAAAGGTTATCCATGGCTGGCCAAGAACATAGACCATTTAGTTGGTTCACTACTTTCTATAGGTTCCATTGACGTCTTATACATCCTAGTGCAAATGTAAAACACTAATCAATGTCAATTATTGCGATTTTGAACTGACAAATCCTGGTCCTAGCACATGTCTTAGGTGAACTGGAGTATAAAAAAATAAGAGCACAATGTGAACTGAAAAGGTACACACATCACCCACTAACGCGGCTGGAGGGCACGGCAGAAAAAACAACTCGTGCTTCCCCCCTGCTGTGCCTGCGCTTTGATCTCGCTGGCCTGGGGAAGAAACATGGTGGGACCTCGCACCTGGACCTGATGGCTTCCACTTGGCGACACTCACATCATAACACGACGAAAGCGGATCAGCACCCCTGAAAGGGGCTCAAATTGCTGACATGAGTCATTGTCGGAACTGCCCGATATCAAAGAAGCATAGCCAAAACCACGAAAATAATCACAACAGCGACTGACTTTATCTACATCAGGGAAGGACCTCTTCGAATAGCTGTACATCCAGATTCTAACTCGTGCTCAAATGCTCTCCCTCCGTCGGTCAAAGCAGCAATACACACATCGAACCCAGCTGACCTGAGCGGCACCGTCTGTTGCCTTGCCTGCGCATGATCGGCATTTGTGGACACGCACCCACTGCCCACCTATAATTATATTTTGCAAGCGAATGCATCCGAGC